ATGAATAGTAAAATGAGCGGGCAAAACTCCAAGGAGAAACAAGATGCTTGCATAGCTTCAAACTATTAATATCTTCCCTAATATATTTTTCACTATGGGTTCATACACTCTTTGATATTCTTCCCTTTGGGAGGTGAAGTTTACTTCCTCTTCTCCTTAAATTTGAGATGGACTTAGTAACTCACTTCTAATGAGCAAAATATAAAAAGGGAAACATAATAACTTTATAGTGAAGAAAGTTGGCAGACAGAATCCTCTGATATGATGAGATGAGAAGGGCTCATCACCTCTGATAGTCTCTCCCTAAATCTGTAACTTTTGTCTAATCATGGGACACAGCAGACAAACTAAAATTGAGGGAAATCTACAACACACCTGATCTCTACTCTTCAAAAGTGTCAAGGTCATGAAAGACAAAGAGATCGAGAAACTATGACATATTGCAGGAGACAAGGGAAACATAACAGCTAAGTACAACGTGGTATCCCAGATTAGATCCTGTAACAAAAAATCACCCATCAGTAAAAAAACTGCAGAAATATGCATAAACGTAGTTTAACAATACTATACTATACCAACATTAATTTCTTAGTTTTGATAAGTGTACTATTATTGCATAACATTAGGGGCAGCTGGGTGAAAAGTACACCAGAACACTCTGTACTATCTTTGCAACTCTTCTGTAAAACTGAAATCATTTGCAAATTAAAAGTTTTAAAAAAAAGAAAAATATTTTTGTCTAGTGATACTTAATTGCTGACAGGTCATCATGATTCTGTGCTATTTAATTTGTTTGCAACAAGACAAAGGTAGTAAAATTGCTGAAATATTATAGTGTTTAAGGCTATACTTTATAATATAAAATGATGCATGCAAATGGAATAAACAACTCATTATGTTCTCCAAATATTTATCACAACGTTCTTTTGTTCATTTGATGAAGTAAATAGTTAAAAATATTTTGAGAATTATGTTCTAAGAGAAAAAGATGAAGCAAATATAATGCTATCTTGTCTAGCTTGTCTTTATAATAAATAAGATCAACTTTCTGTTCCCTAATGTATCACTACAACTGGAAAAGACAGGTCAGTGGTTTTAAGAGCTTCTTTGGCTGGTGGAAAGGAGAATTAGTGCTTCTTTCCTCCTATACTCCTCATCACTCTCACACAAGTATTTAGCTTTTCTCTGGTCTTCCTAGTATGTTGCACTAAGGACAAAAGGAGAGGTTATTTCTGCAGGTGAAGCATGAGTAATTCCAAAATTAAGGTAGTAAAAGAAAGCTTTGAAGATAATAGAAATTGACCATAAATTAACTGCAAGACTTCTAAAGGGAGTGCACAGTGGAAATGTGGTTCAAATTCTTAGCAACATGTCCAGAATTCTGTACTCTCAAGCAACTTCTTCCCATTCTCCCAAAGTCCATAAAAGATAACATGGGAGATATAGCATGAAACAGATAACTATGCTGTTTAAGTGTTGTTATGGGATAAATTGTGGGTGTACTAGGTGCTATAATTACAATGGAGAGATTAAAAATGCTTCCTATATCAGTAAGGAAGCTAACTATAGCATATTTAAGTTCATGTATGATTTCTAAGAAGTTACCTCTGTCTTAGAGTATAATTAGCTTTTTTATGTGGACCTAAGTATCAAGCAAAGGTTATCTAACATACCGTTGAATGTCTTGATCTTTCTGTTATTCTCATGACCTCAAGAAATGGCCAAATTTGTCTAGTGACTTTGATAAGTATTCCAAAATTTGCTTATTCAAACTTCTCAGGATATAAGATTGAGCACTGGGTTCATCATTTACTCTTAAGGATTTCAGAAGATTTTTAAGACCTCTCATTTCATGCAAGACCAGAAAAAGCATAACTGGAATCTTTATTATTGCATGTTTTGGAATTAGATGTCAAGGGAGCAAAATGAATTGGCAGATTCTGAAAAATGCTTTCTCATGATAAAAAGCAGAAATTCTTGGTACTTTTTCAGAAATGTTTCAGGAATTTGGATTACAGGCTACTATTTTGCTAGCTCTGTTCCTTATTTTGATTTAGAAAATTCAGTACACCCATAAATATAAGTAAATATTAGAGCTCATAAACACAGCTGTATTATCTTTGAACATAAAAAGAATGAGATATTTATCTGGAAGTACTTGGTAGCTAAATGAAGGCCCAGTTGGAAATACCAATATATAGTAAGTGGTCCTTTCCATATAATGTACATAGAAGTTTACAGTTACAAAAAGTTCATTGAGAGAGGCAATATAGTGTAGTGGTTTAAACAGAACATGGTTTGGGAAGTCACACAAAATGGATTTGAATCCTGGTTCTTAAACTTATTATCTGAATGATCAGTTGCTTCATCTTTTTGGGCCTCAGTTTTCTCTTCTGTAAATGGGAACTAAGTAAAGTAATATATGCACAGTGCCCAAAAAAGGAAGCACCCAGCAAAGGATAGCCATTAGCAGAATTCAAGAGTTACGAGTATGTGTTTAATAATTTAAAGAATTTCCTTAGATGAGAGTGGTGGCAAGCACCTGTAGTCTTAGCTGAGGCTGAGGTGGGAAGATAGCTTGAGCCTAGGAGTTTGAGGCTATAGTAAGCTGTGGTCATGTCATTGCACTCCAGTCTGGGTGACTAGAATAGACCCTATCTTTAATATATATATGTATATTTTATTTATTTTTTTGAGACAGAGTCTCACTTTGTTGCCCAGGCTAGAGTGAGTGCCGTGGCGTCAGCCTAGCTCACAACATCCTCAAACTCCTGGGCTCAAGCAATCCTACTGCCTCAGCCTCCCTAATAGCTGGATTACAGGCATGTGCCACCATGCCCGGCTATTTTTCATATATTATTATTTGGCAATTAATTCTCTTTTTTTTTTGTTGCCCAGGCTAGAGTGAGTGCCGTGGTATCAGCCTAGCTCACAGCAACCTCAAACTCCTGGGCTCAAGTAATTCTTCTGCCTCAGCCTCCCAAGTAGCTGGAACTACAGGCATGTGCCACCATGCCCAGCTAATTTTTCTATATATATTCGTTGGCAATTAATATCTTCTATTATAGTAGAGACGGTCTCGCTCTTGCTCAGGCTGGTTCTGAACTCCTGACCTCGAGCAATCTGCCCGCCTCAGCCTCCCAGAGAGCTAGGATTACAGGCATGAGCCACCGTGCCTGGCCTATATATATATATTTTAAAGAATTCCTTATATATTGTTGTCAGTAAAAGGACTTGGATATTACACAAGTTAGTTCTTATTTCTAAACATATGACTTAGGAATTATAAGTTCTAACGCGTGATGAAGAGTCACCAGGGAACAGATTCCAGGTCTACCCTAGCCTAAAGAACCAAATCTCTGGAGGATGGAGCCTAGATCTATCTTTAAAAAGAAATCGATCTGATTCTAAAGACTATCCCAGTTGGACCACTGAGGTAGAACATCTATGGGCCATGACTGCACTGAGAAAAGTTAATCCTGTATGTTGTGGTGTGTTAAAAGGAAAGTTACAAATGAGATCATGTATGTGACACTTTGTAAATTGCAAACACTCGCAAATGGAGAGTACTGTTATATAAGGTATGTAATCATGACACTGTTGGTGCTGGAGGGATTTTAGGAAATCAAGGCCCAGAGAGGTAATGTAACTTCTTTCCTTCCTTCCTTCCTTCCTTCTTCTTCCTTCCTTCTTCCTTCTTCTTCCTTCCTCCTTCCTCCTTCTCCCTTCCTCCCTTCCTCCTCTCCTCCCTTCTCCTTCTCTCCTTTCCTCTCCCTTTCTCTTCTCTCCTCTCTCTCTTCTCTTCTCTCTCTCTCTCTCTCTTCTCTCTCTCTCTTCCTTTCCTTCTTCAAAAAACTTCTTCTTTCTTCTCCTCCCTTCCTTCTCTTCCTTCTTCCTTTCCTTCCTTTCTACTCTTCCTTCCTTCCTTCCATTCTCTTCCTTTCTTTCTTTTTGAGACAGAGTCTCGCACTTTGTTGCTCAGGCTAGAGTGAGTGCCGGCGTCAGCCTAGTCACACCAACCTCAGTCTCTTGGCTCAAGCGATCCTACTGCCTCAGCCTCCTGAGTAGCTGGGACACAGCATGCGCCACCATGCCCGGCTAATTTTTTTATATATATATTTTAGTTGTCAATTAGTTTCTTTCTATTTTTAGTAAGGTGGGGTCTTGCTCAGGCTGGTTCGACTCCTGACCTTGAGCAATCACCCGCCTCGGCCTCCCAGAGTGCTAGGATTACAGGTGTGAGCCACCACGCCCAGCCTAATGTAACTTATTTCAAAGTTAGGCAGCAAAGCAAGCAAAATACATATGGTATTACATAAGTGCCAAATGGATGTTAGAGGCATAATGTGTTATGAGAGCTTGGGAGGAGGAGTTACTATGGGCTAAGAAGGTCAGGAAAGACTTCTTGAAGAGATGAGAATGAGGAGTTGGTTCTGCAGGATTAGGATTCCTATTAGTAATACAGGGGATGGAGAAACTGAGCAAAGATGCAGAGGGAGGAAAGCACCAGACAGGTCTGCAAGGGTGTGAGCTGGAGTACAAGATTCACGTAGAGGAGTGCTAGGCAAAGACCTCACAGAGGGCTTGAATCCTAAACTAAGGAGCTGAGACTATCTTGAGAGCAGAAGGGATCTAAAGAAGGTTTCTGAAGAGTACATAAGTAGCTACAATGTGAGACCCTAAGAGTAGGGCCCTTGAATCCACAGGGCCCACGGAAAAGGACTAAAAGCAGGAGGCCATAGCAGTGTTCTAGGTATGAAGCCATACAGGTCTCAGAGAAAACCAAATGGCTTAGGTACCACATTAGGGATTGGATAGTTCTTGGGATCTCTGTGGGGCTCAAAGAAGAGAGAGGCTCACCACTGTGAGCCTGGGTGACTGGAAGTATGATGACACTATTGACAGGAATGGGAGGCCAGGCTGGAAGCAAAGGAGGTTGGTTTGAGATCGTTGGTAGCATTGTTACAGTGCTCTGTAGGGAAACTTTGGATACAACTCACCTTCATGTCCTCAAAATCTGTTATCCCTATCTGAGGGAGGTTTGAGCAGTTTACATAGATGAGTTTTCGGCCACTGATGAAGTTTTCAGTAAAACACTCCTGTCAGTACAACATGAACATCACTCAAAAAATGTACTGCAAGTAGAAGAAAAGAAGAAAGGGAGAGAAGGAAAGAGGGAGGGAGGGAGGGAGGGAAGAAATCCTGTTTGTCTCTGGTTCTATACTATTAAATAAAAAAATATATTTTCTATCCTAATGATACATTTGTTTTCCATCTAAGCTCTTAATTAAATTTCACACTGCTCCTTAAATTTTTTTTTTGGCATACTACAATCAGTACTTCTTTATGTCTCAAGTACATTTCTTTGTCACTCAGGTGGGAATGCAGTGGTGTGATCATAGCTCACTGCAATCTCCAACTCCTAGGCTTAGTAGCCATCCTCCTGCCTCAGCCTCCTGAATTGCTAGGCCTGCAGGTGCACACTACCACACTTGGCTAATTTTTTCTTTTTTAATTTGTGGAGAAAGGGTCTTGCTTTTGCCCAGTCTGGTCTTGAACTCCTGGCTTCAAGCGATCCTCCCGCCTTGGCCTCCCAAAGTGCCAGGATTACAAGCTTGAGCCACCATGTCTGTCCTCCATTATATTTTTAAGTACAGGGAGCATAAAAGGTTTCAGATCTTGTGTTGTTTTGTGGTAGACTAAAACACAGTTTGCATCAGTGAAATAAGATCCTTATACTATCTTTTAAATAAAATAGTTTTTGGTTAGTTGGCTAACTTAATACGTGTAAGTGCTCATGATACATATGATATATTTGGGGCAGACAATCAATAGTATAATTTCAAGCTATGGGAGCTGCCACTAAAACAAATTGACAAAATACCAAAAAGTCTACCTTGGACAAAATCTACTTAAAAATATGGTTTTCTATGAAATGAGGCCCACATAAACTTCTTGATCTTTACTCAACGATTTTAGAGAATGGTAATCTCTGGGATGAAGAGAAAAAACAAATAAATTTGACCCCCCCTTCCTCTCCCAAAACATAAATATATATCAAGGATAAAATTAAAATCCAAGTTAACGCTACACAATCCAGGACTTCTCTATACTCCTTCTAGTGAAGAAGAGGCAAGAGCTCAAGTCAGATTTCAGGGAATAAGAGGTAGAAAGATGACAGCATGTGATTTCAAAAAATGTTAGCTTTGTATACCTTGTACTGAGGGAAGCCTAGTTGGCTAATCCACTCTGCAACTTTCTCTGAGTCCCAATCAAGATGTTCAAATTTAAACTCAGTCGTTGTTTTTGGCTGGGTTTCATTATCTTCAGGTACCAGTTCTTTTGACTCTTGGGACAAATTTGAAACTTTTTTTTCACTTAAGAGCTCTCTTAATTCTGTCTGGGACTCTGATGGATTCACGTTCAAGTATTCTTTACTGATTTCTTTAAGCAGTTTTTGGAGCTCTTGAGAAAACTCATATTCTGTACTAATTGATTCTGTTTCATCATCTCTGAGAGATCCTAACACATAATAGTCTTTTTTGACTTCTTCAGTTTCTCTTAGTGGCAACTTTCCTGTTTCATGCTTGGGGTGCTGTAGCTCATACTTGTCTATAGAAGACTCAGATTTGACTGGTTCTGGCCTGTCTTCCTTGGGAAATTCTACATGTGTCTTTCTTGGTTTGGCTTCATCTGGTAACTGCATATTTTTCTCCTCAGTTGGCTTTGATTGTGTCTCCTCTTGAGCCTCTGGTTTGATCTCTTGTGGTAGCATTAGACTAGTCTCTGGAGGCTCTGGAATTTTTTCTTCACTTGACTTTCTTCTTCTCTCCTCTGGAACTTCTGGCTCGGTCTTTTCTGATTGCTTTAGACTTGTTTCCTCAATTGGTTTTCTTGATTCTTCCTCGGGAAACTCTTCCTGTAGTGGCTCTGGAAATTTCTCATCAGTAGACTTTCTTGGTTTGTGGTCTGGAAACTCTAGTTTAGTCTGCTCAGGTAGCTCTGTCCCTTCCTCCTCACTTAACTGTTTTTTCATCTCTGGAATCTCTGGTTTAGTCTCTTCTGGAGACTCTAGACCTGCCTCCTCAGTAGACTGTCTTGGTTCCTGCTCTTGGAACTCTGGTTTATCCTGCTCAGGTGGCTCTGTCCCCTTCTCCTCACTTGACTGTCTTTTCATCTCTGGAATCTCTGGCTTAGTCTCTTCTGGAGGCTCTAGACCTGCCTCCTCAGTAGACTGTCTTGGTTCCTGCTCTTGGAACTCTGGTTTAGCCTGCTCAGGTAGCTCTGGCCCCTTCTCCTCACTTGACTCTCTTTGTGTCTCCTCTGGTATCTCCTCTGGTTTGGTCATCTTTGGTGGCTGTAGACCTGTCTCTTGATATTGCTCTCTAAGAGATTCCTCTGAAAGCTCCGGTTCTGTTTCCTTTAGAAACCCTAAACCTGTCTCACTGATTGTGGACTTTGAAATGGTTTCCATTGGCAGGGCTGTATCTGTTTCCACAGCTGAGTCTTGAAGTGCGTCCTCTGTAACGTTTGGTTTAGCCTCCCCTGGTGGCTCTAGGTCTGACTCCTCACCCTTTTCATCCACAGGGACCTCCAAATTTTTGAAAAGCTCTGTCTCTCTGGTTATCTCCCACTTTACCTCTTGGGGAATCCCTGGTTCAGTTTCGCTGGATAGGTCTACCTCGGACTTCTTGGGACTTTCTCCCTTGGATGTCTTACTGGGTTTTAGCTGCACATTCTTATCATTCTCTGGCTCCCCCTCTTTTAAGTCCTCTTCCTCGGTGTCTGGCTGTGGCTCTTGGTCAATCTCTGCGGGTGGTTCCGGGCCTGCCTCTGCCAAGGTGTTCGGGTCGACATTTTCATACAATTTACGAAGTTCAGGCGGTTCAGGTCTCTTAGGCTCAGGCCATTCATCTTCATCCGGGCCGGAATCATAATCCTCCGGGACTTCAGCCATTTGCAGCTTAGCGGGAGCGCCCAGGCATCCTAGCAACCCCAACTTCCGATAGCGTCTCTATGGCTACCACGATTTCCGGCAGTGTCTTCCTGACCCTTCCCCAGGTTTTGTTTGTTCTTTCGACTCTGACTTTAAAAATCGGCGATCAAAAGCACGCAGTCACCCTCCGGGCATCCGCGTCACCAGCCTCGGCTGCCCAGAGCTCCTGCGGCCGCCCGGGGCAGGCGCTCTCTTCCTGCGCCGCAGCGCCGCTCCTTCCGGCTGGCGGGCTCCCTCGGCTACTCTACGCGCGCCGCGGCCGCGTTCGCCCGGCCTTCGGCTGTTTCCGGAGCTACTCGCGGCTGACGGCGGAGACGCTCCCGGCGCGGGCTGCAGATGTCGGACCCGCAGGCGGCTGAGGGGCAGGGCTTCTGGAGCCCGGCAGCCCGCCGAGGGTCGGCGAGCGGCGCCGGGGACGGCCTGGGAGTGGAGGGGAGCCAGGCGGCCGCCTCAGGTACGCAAGACCCGGGCCCTGGCGGGTGGGTGCCGCCCGGCCTCAGGGCCGCGCACCTCGGCGCGAGCCTCCGCCGCGCTCCTACGCGGAGCAGACCCACCTCCGCAGCCCCTTTGAGCCTGGGACCCCGCTCTCCCTGGGGAACGACCCCTGTCCTCCCCGCTGCCACCACCCGGGCCCTGGGCTGCGCTCGAGGTTATTTTCTACTCCTGTTTCAAAATGCCTTGGTTCCTGCCCGACTTCCTTTCTCAGATCAGCCAGATGGTAGTGACAGGGTTGCTCTGCCCCTGGCACTTCTTCAGCTTCAGCCTAGGTTCGAATCCCAACTCCTTCTGCCGATGACATCTAGATAGCCGACCCGAACCTCCGCCCCCTGCTTCAAGGCTCCTCACCTGGTCCCCACCTCTGTCCCCTGCCCCAGCCTTCCCACGCGCCTCTCTGCCCCATCTGGGCTGGCAGCCTTGCCGCCCTCTGTCAGGAACCCACTTCGCCCTAGCCTCCCTGCACGTACGCCCCCTCGCCTCGCCGCCATCCTCTCCGTCTCCTAGAGTGGGAGAGATGAAAAGCAGAGTTGGAATAGGTAGGCTCTGGGGTCTTTTGATGGAACATAGTGGCCAAAGCAAAGGCAGGAAATAGGAATTTTGGTGACCTTCTGTATTCTCCAAGAGACCCTCATCCTCTTGTTCATGACGATGTCTCCATGTCTACTACAAAAGTTGCTCCATGTGGTTTATTTCAATGTCCTAAGACAAAAGAGTCCATGTATCACACTTTTATCTTTCAGCCTCCTTATGGGCACCACACACAATGCAACTAAAAGGACGCTGTTTTGAAATACAAAAAGGTAGAGGGGAGAGAACTGGTTTCATTAAGTAGCAAATATATATGAATTTTCTAGGTCTGAAGTTAAAATAGACACCTTAAAGTAAAATGGTTGAGGCACTACTGTGGAGCCAGGGTGCCTGGATTGGAGTCTGAATCCTTAGGCAAAGCACTTGACTTCTGTGTCTGTTTCCTCATCTGTAAAGTGTGATGATTCCTGCCTCACAGGATTCTTGGGAGGATTCCTTGAGCCACTATGTCCAAGGCATTTGGTGTGTAGCCCATAGCACACACTATACTTGTGTTACCTATTAATATTATGGGAATAAGGTCCCTGCTGAACTCCCTGTGGTATGACAGCAAGTGTCCCTAGATGTAACTCTTCCAGCATGGTAGCTTTTCCGTTTTCCTACTTCTATGCCAAATATCTCCCCTCTTACAGTGCTGCTTCACTCTCACACACGTTTGTGAATCACCCAGCTCTTTCCCATGACTAAATCTTCTCTTTAAAACATCTAACAATTTTTGCCTTTTTTTTTCTTTCTTTCTGGGACTTTAATTTTTTGCCTTTTAAAATGAATTCTGTTATGTTTTGTATTAAATTCAAAATTGTTGGCATGCATTTAAAATTATAACTGTAGAAATACTAAACATAATTTCTGAAAGATGAAGCAAATAAACACTCAGAAAGGTGTATAAATAAGTCTCATAAATACCAGTCACCTGTGTGTGCCGGTGTGTATAAATTCAGCATGTTTTTTACTTCCCTTTTAGGTCCTCACGTGTTTATGGCAAACAAATCCAAGCATTTTAGATGGAAAAGTCTTAAGAGTACTCTAGGAATATATTGGAAGATAGTGGGTTTGTCTCTTGAGTATGGTTCTTTTTTTCCCTCCTGACATCTAAGTGGTTCCTACATTCACTTCTTCCTCCCAGGACTTTGGTAGAAATGCTTATGGTTACTTTCCTTCCTCTTGTCCTCAGAAAGCAGGGTGAATAGTTTCCTTTTATGTAGTGTAAAGGGTTGTTATTGTAGCCCAGAGCAAGCTCTTCCGTTTGTTGGTAATAAAATAATAGTAATGACAGCCTACATGTATTGAATGCTTACTTTGTGCCAGACTGTGGAAAAAGATTTACTTGTATTCTCTAATTTAATCCTGTCAATCATTTTCTTCCCACTTTACAGAGGAACAAGCTACAGCTGAGAGAGGTCAATTTGTCCAAGTTAGAGGGAATTTTTACAAATGTCTATATGAAATTGTCACCTTATTATGATGAAGCTTATAATTGTTTTTATTCGCCACTAATCAAGAATTGGTAATCGAGGACAGGTTATGGTCTTTTGTCCTCGTGGTGTTTTCAGTTTGGTGAGGTGAGAGTTCAACAGGGAAAAAAAAATAACAATTCAAAATATTATGTAATTGTCTGTCTTTTAGTACAGTTCTTTATGTACTTATCCTCTAAGAAACCTGCTTGAAGATAGGAACAGAATCTATCTTGCCTATTTATCTAGAGCCCTTGATGTTGTGTCTTAGAGGTTCGGCAAATATTTGCTGAGTTTGATGGTGAGAGAATGTCTCAAGGAAAAGATTTGGAGGAGGATCCAATGAATGTGAGGAATTAGGGTTGAGATAACCAAGAGTGTTCCTTGGGTTAGGGCAATGGTTCTCAACCAGGAGTGATTGTGCACCCCTAGGGGACATTTGGCAATGTCTGAAAACATTTTTGGTTGCCACAACGAGGGGCAGCTATTACTGACATCTAGTGATTATGGGCCAGGGATGTTGCTAAACATCCTGCAGTGCACAGCCTAGTCCCCACAGTGAAGAATTATCTGGCTCCAAATGTCAGTAGTGCTGCTTTTGAGAAACCCTGGGTTAGCGTTAAGCTGGATTTCCAAAGCGATGTGGAAATGCTGCATTTGGCTTGGACCAGAGGCTTGGGAGTAAAACCAAAGAAACTGCCTTAAATTGAAAATTTGATTGGATCTTTCTGCTACCTCCCTCTAGAAAATGGTACAATGAGTAAGCAAAAGTGCTCTAAGAAAAAATGAAATTGACAGAGGTTTCTGTCACCTTCTCTTAGAAAACAGCAGTAAAAAATGAGGTTAGATATTCAGTTGTTATTGAATTAAGGGTTTTGGTTTTTCAGTTTACTTTATTCCTTCAAAGCAAGAATTTGTCATTATCCAGAATAAATATAACTCATTTTAAAAAAGTATTCTCTGCAGAGAATACCTTTTGAGGGTTTTCATGTTTGCTCACTGAGTTTTGGTGAAAAGGAAGAAAAGGATCTCACTCTGTCTCCTAGAATCATTGCACAATGCTGCCTTGAACTCCTGGCCTAATGCAGTCCTCCCACCTTGGTCTACCAAAGTGCTGGGATTATAGGCGTGAGCCACCTCACTGGGACTGTAATTGTTTTTAATAGTCTTTTATTTGGGGCACCTGGGTTCTTCACTTCCCAAGAGGAGAGAGGGATCATTCTTTATATCATGAAACTCTCTGAGGCATACATGTTGCATCACTAAGGGCAGGTGATTTTTTTTTTTTTTTCAAGTTTAGAGAGCTTTGGAGACAATAAAGAGCAAAGTTTGTTATGACCCTGAAGTCAGCAGTAGAGCTAGTTTGCTGTGTATGACCCAGAGAGCTATCAATGCGTTTAGATATTGAGGATTGCGAACAGGTCCTCTACATTTGTTCATGGTTCTAAGGTAGGACTTAGAGCAGTGCAAATAAATCTTTTTTGCAATGATGGAAATGTTTCACATCTGTGGCTATTTCAATTTACATGAATTAAAATTTAAAATTTGGTGGCTACTGTATCAGATGGTGCAGAAGAGTAGGAATTCTATGCCAAAGAGCTTTTATGTTTTTTAGTCTTCTATTGTGGTTTTATGTCAACATGTTAAAAATGTATCTGCCTGTGACTGTTTTTTTTTCTTATGGTGGTTGTGTTTTTACAGTGTTCAGATAGCCAATCAGTTATGTCATGATTCAGTCTAGAGTGCAACTAAAGGGGTGTAACCAGAGTGCCCAGTCAGGAGCATGTCCCACTCATAAGGGCTGAGGAGAAATTGGATCACATGGCCACTGGATTTTGTTGAAATGTAAACTCAGCCAATTTGTTTGCGTTTTAAGCCTCTTGAGTCTATATAACCACATAGCCTGCTTTTGGTTCCTCTGCACTGGAATCTAAAAGGCCAGGCTAATTATCTCTTTGCAGCCTGTTTAGTGAGGGGGAAGTCCTCTGAGGTCTGTGCTAAAGAACCTTGACCTGATATTCAAATGCTTTAGAAAAAACCCAGCTTTTTGGTTCTCTTTGTAGAGAAAGTACAAAGCACACAGCAAGTTTGAATACATAGCATGATCAGAATGTCTGAAACCAGACTTTCTAGTAATACAGAAAGAAAGCTCACATTTGAAAAATTGGCAAATAAATTTCTTTCAGTACTTTGTCCAGCAAAAAAAAAAAGAATAAAAAACATTGTCAAATATAAAATTAATTATTTTGAAAAAGCTCCCCCCCATCTTTGCTTTAGTGGCCATCAATTAATTATAAACTATTCATAAGCTTCCATTTTTCCTTCTCTGTTCATTGCAAGATTTTGGCCATTCAGGCACTCTGGTATTGATTTTGCTGTGATATGGAATTAACTGTTCCAATATTATTTGGTCACTATTTTTTCTTTTCTTTCTTTCTCTTTTTTTTTTTCGTTTATTTTAGAGATAGGGTCTCACTCACTCTCTAGCCCAGGCTAGAAGGCAGTGGCAGGATCATAGCTCACTGCAGCTTCAAACTCTTGGCCCCAAGCAATCCTGCCACCTGTGCCTCCCAAAGTGCTGGGATTACAGACATGAGACATTGAACTTGGTCTATTTTTTCTTTAAATTGACATTTAAAAGTTCTGTTTCGCCAAAAAAAAAAAAATATATATATATATATATGTTTTGTTTCATTCTAAATCATATCCATAACAATTACTAGTTTGATGTATCAATTTTTCCTAACACATACTAAAATAAATACATATGTATTAAAATAAAAAAACACATTTTCCTACATGCTGTCTAAATTTGTAACACCTGTCCTAGTTTTTCTGGTCTCTTCTAAGAATACTTGCAAAATTGACTTTTATTTGACTGATATAGTAAAAACTATTCTATGGAAAAATTAGC